AGGCTTCCTTTGGGACCCTGGGATGTGCATGGTTAGGAGGGTGGAGCAGGTAGGAGTGATAATGCATGCTAATTAGCACTGTGCAGAGCTGTCATCAGGAACCCAGAAGCCACATGGTCCCAACCTGTTTGAGGTTGGCACACCAAATTCAAAGCAGCTGGCCTTTGGAAATTCTCTGGGAGGGTCCAGCCCATCCTGGCCAGTGGGAAGGCCGGTGTTTCCCTACCCTGAACTCAGAGCCATCTGAAGCTGTTTTCACTTCCCGGAAGGGGCCTGATTCTATGTGATCTAGATTCTTCCCGTGTTTCCCTTGCTCTGCCAGAAAAGACTCTTCAGTTGCTTTCCCTTGCCTGCCCTGCCTCCTCCTTCAGTGTTCGTCTCCACAGACCCTGGCTCAGGGTAGCCAGGTTTGATGGGTTGGCCCAGCCGTGTGTTACGGAAATGGTGACTGTACTGTTTTATAGTTGTTTACTCCCGTCTTCCTTGGCCCAAGTAAGACTGCCTTGCCTATCCTGCTCACATGGACTTGAACAGAATGGCTCCCTCTGGGGGGCCAGGCTGTGCTCAGTGCTCTATTCCCTTCTAAATCTCCTAAATCCACAGAACCCAAAACTGAAGAGCAACTTATCAGTTCCCTGAGCCCCAGATCAGACTTATATCCTCACCTGCAGAGCTACTGTATGCTTAGAGATTTCTGTTATGTAGAAACCAAGCCCATCAGTCTGACAGTCACACTAAGGCTTTGGAATTATAGCCTCAAACATACACAGGGGGAAAGAATTCATAGAAGTACAAGGTACAAACCAAGAGACTTATAGCCTGGTTTCTTTTCTATAATGTCCATTAAACGCTGGTGAGTTCTCAGACAAAAACCAAGTCCTTGGTCCACCTCAATCACTTTATCTTTACGCAGTGGTTCCCCACTCTGTGTGTTATCAAGAATAAATGAAGCCAGCCATGGTGGCACATGACAGTAATCCAAGCCCAGTACTCAGGAGGCAGAAGCTGAAGGGGGCAGGGGGAGAGACAGAGAGAGAGAGAGAGAGAGAGAGAGACAGAGAGACAGAGGGAATAAATGAGACACAGTTTATCAAGGGGTTAGCAGATTTTGTGGCACTTAATACATACTCAGACCCTAATTGTTACTATCGTTACTATTAATGTTATAAAAATGGGATGGCCGTTAAGTTTTGTAGTTTACAGTTTAGTTTTCCCCTTGGGAATAAGCTCACTATTGAGGGAGGTCACTAAGGCTGCAGAAAGGCAATGGAGAGAGGGAGGGTATCCTTCAAAGAGTCAACAATGACTGCCCTGGGCAGGGTGTTCTGGTTATTTTAAATTTCATAAGAGTCTTTAGTTGGCTATATTCTGTCAGTGAAGGTACAGTACTTCAAGAGGTAGAGATGAGGTCTAATACATCATAAGGATGAAGAAGGGAATTAGTTAGAGGGCAAGAGGGCCTGGCCTGTATCTGTCCCAGTGGATACTCTCCTGCGTGCTTCTAAGCCCGGTCCTCCCTTGCATTTTGGCAGGTTTTTTCACCCAGATATCCACCTTGGCTGACGTGCAGGAAAATGTTATGGAATACCTCCATGTACTCAGCCGGCCCAAGGTCATCGACCAGGAGCACGACGTGGTATGGACCGAAGCCTACATCGACAGCACGGTGAGTTCGCGAGGCTCCTGCAGGAGAGGCTGCGGTTTGAACTCTTGATTCAGGGCAAGCATGTTCCTGTGTTGTTCTGAGATTCAGTGACATTTTCCTGGGTTGTAGGTACAACCTGGTTGAGAATGAGTCACTGCAGGCAAGCAGGGTTGGTAGGAAATGACCCAGAGTGGGACCTGTACCTCTCAAAGCACAGAGCATGCTGCGTTGTTCTCATGGCTTCTCCACTTCCCACATTCCTTCATGAGGCTGTGATTAGAAGCATGCTGGTGGACTCAGTCCTGGCCATGGCCACATGTGAGGCCCGGCCCTGGTGATGGATTGTTAGGTGTCAGTTGAAGATGTGACTGACACTCACTATGATAACAAATGGGATCCACCACAGAGGGTGCAGTTGCATTTTCTTCCTACAGACAGGCAAGAATGTGGTTCTGTGGGGGTTCTGTGGGCGTGTTTACATGAACTCTGGTCATGGGCTTCTGCAAAGCTGGATCTGCAAAGCACACACAACAGTATGCTGCAGGAAGAACACAAAAGGAGGGGCTTTGCCAATCATCCAGTGATAGCTCCATGGCTGCGTCCTTGTGCAGTTTCAGGGTGATTTTTCATGGTGATGATGAGTCTGACGGGAGTGGCGTGTTTCATTTGTTGATTGTAAATGTTCTCACAGGACCATGCCGCCATCATTTATGTTGGGCTGCACATCACATTAATTACTGCAGCCCAGACACAGCTGTGCTCTGGAGGGGTCTCCATGACTGTCCTGGGCCTCCTTTCCTCTCCCCGGACACTCCTGGAAGTTCTTGCTGCATTTCTGACAGCTGCAGACACACACGGGGCAGGAACGATATATAAGAACCACACTGGGGGACACCTTGACACATCCAGGCCACTGCAGCTTGCCCAACTCCAGCCTTCAAGTACACAGTGGGACCTAGAATGGGATTGTGTCTCCTAGAGAGGGGATATCACTCCTCAGGAGAACTCACAGGTGGATGTGGGGCTGAACAGACCTCTCTAGTTGCTGATGAGACTGAGTTTTTAATCAGTTTGGAAGTCAGATCCCAGTTTCATTGTGACTCCTAGAAAAAAATCACCATGCTTCCAAGTCTAAGCAGGCACCCAGTTACTAACAGTGACAGCAGCTAGAGGACTGTTTCTCCTTACACGTGGTTGATTGAGGCAGAAAAATCAAAAATGGAACAGAGGAGTGGGTCATGTCTCCCGTGGCCACTGAGGTATCCGAATCACTCTGTAGTTTGGTGTACAAACCCCAGACATCCAGGTTGATTTATAAATATAAAGATATGAGAACAGAGCCTGAAAATAAAGTATTATGGTGCTAGACTCTGAACAGACTAACAAGTCAGTGGAACAGAAAAGTCAATACAAGTCCCGATTGCATAGGGGATTTAGTGCATGGTCTCTTCTCAGTTGAGCTAGGCCCAATAATCTTAATATACAAAGAACTTTTTAAAAAATTGAGGGTCCAGCTAGGTGGGTGGCACACACCTTTAATCCTAGCACTTGGGAGGCAGAGGCAGGCAGCTCTCTGTGAGTTCAAGGCCAGCCTGGTCTACATAGTGAGTTCCAGGTCAGCTGGGGCTATATGGAGACCCTGTCCCAAAAAGACAAAAAATAAATTAAATTTATTTAAATAAATAAATAAATAAAATTGAAGGTCCAGCGAGATGGCCCAGCAGGTAAATGTACTTGCCATTAAGCCCGATGACCAGAGTTTGATCGCTGAGACCCATGATGGAAAGAGGCTTCCACAAGTTGTCCTCTGACCTCTACCTGTGGTGCCATGGCACACCTGCCCCCGTGCCCTGCACACACAAAATAAACAAATAATGTAATAAACTATTTTTTGAAAAAATGAATTCTTTGAAAATTCCTATAGAAGAATAGTGAGTAAAAGATATGAACAAGTCACAAAAATAACAAAATGGCTTTTAATATGAAAAAAAGGTACAACTTTACTCAGAGTAAGAAAAATGCAAGTTAAACTATAGGGAAATACCCTTTCTCACCATCAGAGTGATAGGAATTAATAAGCTTATGCATGCACTGTGCTGTTGAGGACACTAGCAAGGGAGAACGTTCCTACATCACTGTGGGGATGCAGAGTGGGGCAGTTTCTAAGGGGATATATTCATTTCCCTTTGCCCCAGCAATCATACTTGGAGCTAACCTTGAAGATGGATATCCATCAATATAAAAATGTATATGCAGAAGTTTGTTCATTAGAATTGCTTATAATTTCCAAATTTCCTTAATGCCCAAACATGTGAATATTCATTGGATCAGCCAGAGACTGTCCATCTATCTAATGGAGCCAGTGTTAACAAGAATGAGGTGATCTCTGTGGCTTGACATAAATGTTTAGTCTCAGCATATACAGCTAAGTAAAATGAGTAAGTGCAGGAGTGAGTTGTAGGCTACCTTTTATGTAAGAAGGAAGAAAATAGTGGTGTGCATGTGGTATTTATTCTCACAGAAGTGTATAGAGACAGAATAAATCTTCATTGATAGAATTGTTTACCTACAAGAGATGGGGAAGCATGCATGGAAATGGGACTAAGGAGGCAGTGACATATCCCTTTTTACATGGTATTGACTTCTGTTTTGTTCTCTCTCTCTCTCTCTCTCTCTCTCTCTCTCTCTGTGTGTGTGTGTGTGTGTGTGTGTGTGTGTGTGTGTGTGTGTGGTACATGTATATGAGTGCAGGTGTGTGTGTGCCATGATGTATGTGTGGAGATCAGAAAACAATCTCCGGTGTCCGTCCTGGCCTTCCACCTTGAGCAGAGTCTCTTGTTGTTCACCACTGCAATATTCCAGATTATCAGGCCTGAAAGATTCCAGGGACCTTCCTCTCTCTGCCTCTCCTCTTCCTGTAGAAGTGCTGGGATTACAGACATGCTTTACGGTGTCAGGCTTTATATGGTTTCTGGGGATCTGAACTCATGTTGTCCAGCTTGCATGACAAGCGCTTTACTTTTGAACCATCTCTCCTGCCTAGTTTTGGCTTAAAAAATATTATATTTATTTGTGAGTATACGTGTATAGGGAAGTGCATGTGAAATAGCACATATATAGAGGTCAGAGGACAACTTGTAAGAGTCCCACATAGATTCTATTCTGGGGATAGAACCCAGGTCCTCAGTCTTTATGACAAGTGCCTTTACCTGCTAGCCATTTCACTGGTTCATTAAAAATTTTTTGTTACATTTATTTATTTGTATGTGTGTGGCATTGGTTCTTTAAGGCATATGTTCTGTGCATTTAAATAATAAGATTATAAAAATAAGACTGAAATAAACTGCCAACAGAGTGAAGGAGACGCAACTCCATTTTAGTTGACTAATAAAATTTACCACGAAGCAGGAAAAAGAAAACATAACCTTTGAATTAACCTTTCATATAACAGTAATGTACAATATTAAAATTTGAATATAATGCTTAACACTGCTTTTAAATCCAGGGAGGAAAATAGTGCAAGTAAACTTAAATTCCCTTTGGCATTGTCTGTAGTAATAAACCATTAGTGTTCCTTGGGGAGTGAGTGGGAGGTGAACATGGGGAAACAGGCCAAAACAAGGCAGGTGCCTATGGGATCAGGTTGGACTGAAAGCTTCAAAATGCAATCCCAGCTCTGTCCACTAAGAGGGACTGGATGCAGTGCTACCACACAGCAATGAGCTCATCTAGAACCCAGATCCACCCCCAGGAAGAGGAACCAGGATTCTTTAGAAAAGTTTCTAATTCTAGGGCTGGGCTAGGTAAGGTACCATCCTCCCACAATAAAACCTGAAATATTTTATAACAGAAAACACAGAAATACGAAAACAATAATGTGGTCATATAAAAAGGATACAGTCAGCATGCAAGGGCTCTCATTGATCAGATTGGGGACTATTTGCATCTCAGAATAGCATATGACAGCGACAGACTATGACCTATTGAGTAAAACAAAAATCATACGTTCTTATTGATATTAGGCAAGCCTCAGACAGATGACTAAATGGAGAACTGTGTGGGTGGGAAGGAGCCGCCATCCATAATGCAATGCCCAGCGGTAAGTCAGGGAGTGATGGAGCTGGAGATTCATCATTCTGCAGCCATTGAGGTTTAGTGCCAGTGTCATCAATGGATCTGAAATCTAGGGTGAGAAGGACATTTTTATGGATTCAAAGTGCTTCCCCCAACATGTTTTCTTTTCCTTCCATTAACTGAAAGGAGAAAAATAGTATCTTGACAGCAGAATACCATGTATGCTCTTTAGTGTACCAGCATAGTGGCAGTGTCCCAACAGTATCTCAAACAAGCCATTAAAATTAACATCACTAATGAGAAGCAGATGGACACTGTGTGCCCATGAAGGAGGTAGCACTCCAAAGAGTATTCTGACTGGGGAGAAATCACCTGATGCTCATGGTGAACGGAAGCTTGTGAATAGGTAAAGCTTCATGCTAATGTCTTTCTATAGACAATGATAATACTTAAACCAATTACTTTGTTAGATTTACTAATTATATTCACATATGGATTTATGTTTGCTGAGACCCCACTGGCACTGAAACTTTTTCCAGGTATAACCCTTGACAGAAGAGGCAAGGTGAGTGGCCTGGGCCTTACCTGGACAGGGAGTGGCAGAAGAAATGCCTCTAAAGCCTCATGCTTTATATGGAATTGATACTCTGTGCCACAACTACTTTTATTTTTAAATAAAATGATGTTGCTAGTGGCTCATGACTGAGTAAGCTTGCTATGGTAAGATGACAGGGCTGACATGTCCCACCTCCTCAAAATTCCCCTGCTACACACAAAAAGCTTTTAAACCCAGGGTCTGGTTAGCTTTGGAATGACAGTTCATCAAGGCTGTTGTGCTGTCCAAGCTTCTATTGTATATTTGCAAATCTCCAAATAAGCACACTCCTGAGTAGGGAGTTTTGAGGATCCTTTTCACCTTGATGCTTTTGAGAAGACTCTTGGGCCAGTGGATATGTGGCCAAGTCGACTGTGGGTGACAGGAAGGCTGCTGACTCCATTGGGAACCTCTAACCAGGAAACCACAGGCTTGGCAGACTCCTCATCTAGACCTAAATCCTATAACACAAGGACAAAATGATTAAATGAACAAATATTAAAACTCAAACCAATCCTATCATTTATAATTTATATGGGATCAAGATAGGATTCACATTTTGTATTTATCTGTAGAATCCAAGTTCTAAAATAAAGCTCACCAGTTTGGGAGTCCCCAGAAGAGGAAGCTGGAGACTAGCAGTTTTGAGCTCCTAACTGCCAGTGAGGGTTCATCTTGATTGACCTGAGAAGAACCTAGAAGATATGAGACGTTCCCCTTTGGGTGTGCCTGTGAAGGAAATTCCAGAGATGATTAGAACAGTCTAAGATTTTTCAAAATGACAAAATTCTATTCTAACCCATTCAGGACAGTTGATTCCAGCATTGCCCTAATGTGATTCAACTTGCAATAAAGAGCACTTGATACTGGGACTGGTGGCCAACCCCGCCTTAATAACCCAACATTCCGGTGGGGTTGCTAGCACTGGGATTCATATATATAAAACTGACCTTAGATTTTGAGATAAGAACTCCAAATTTAGAGTAATAACAATAGCTTGGGTTTCATGTACCACATTAGCTCTGCAATCTTAGCCAGTGACTTAGCTCTGTAAGTGCTGTATTCACATTTATAAAATGGAACTAAAACCTGTCTTCCAGGGTTAGTGCTAAGGGTGACAATGTGATGGTGAATGCTACTTTCCATCTCCCAGCTTCAGGACATTCAGAGTAAACTCATCTCCTTGGCTGCTGGAAGTCTTTAAAAAATACTCTCTTTTCCATGAGCTGGGTCATCCAGGGTAAATACAGCAAAGCTTATGCCTTTTTGGTAATAGAATTTGGTGCTTAACTATGATGAATACCTTGAAAGAGAAGAGATTTATTTTGGCTTATGGTTCCAGAAGAAGAGGGAAGACATGACAGCACGTGGGGGAGGCATGGCGACAGGAACAGGAAACTGGCTGATCATGATGCATCAGCAACCAGGAAGCAGAGAGAAAGCATGAAGGGCCAGGCTATAAAGCCTCAAAGCCCACCCTCAGTGACGTACTTCCTCCAGCAAGCCTCTACCTCCTAAAGGTTCCATAACCTTCCTGAACAATACCACCAGCCAGAGACCAAGTGTTCAAATCCATGAGCCTATGGAGGACATTTCGTATTAAAATCACAGTAATATCATGGAAGCACTGTTTGTCTACAGATGCATTTTCACGCTTTGGAATGCATTTTGCTGAATTGCATGTTAGGAACTGGGCTAGTGTCTGAAGCTAATACCAGAATCAGGGTCTCCATAGAAGATAGGATTGGGCCATACCAGTCTGGCAGAGCCACCACCCATCCTTACTGAAGGGACATTTAACTCAATTACCTAATGAAAGAGAAATATGGTTATCAGCCCCTCTAACCAACTGCCGTGTAACCAATTCCATAACCTCTCTCTGCCTTGGAATGGCCTGTACCTGTTGTAGTCAGCACCCTGGAGACTTGACCCCCAAGGCCATTCTCACCTCCAGCCACATGGCTCTTCTCCCAGGTTTTCTAGAAGTCAGTTGCTTTATACCCAAACCTACCAATACCAGTTATGATTTTATCATAATTGTATCAATTAATTAAGCATTATTTAGACCAATGGATTATGAGTATAAAAAAGTGGTTGCTTCTGTGGAAAGGTAATAAAAGGGACTCAGAAAGATCTTTAAAGAAAATTGCTTTTAAAATAGGGTAAATATGGATAAATCAATAAAATAAAAGAAATAAAAGGTGATACTTAAAATTGATACCAGTCTATCCTTGCCTCCCTTTCTTCCTTCCATGTCCCTCCCTCCCTCCGTCCCTCCCTCCCTCCGTCCCTCCCTTCCTTCCTTCCTTCCTTCCTTCCTTCCTTCCTTCCTTCCTTCCTTCCTTCCTTCCTTCCTTCCTTCCTTCCTTCCTTCGCACGACATCACCCCGACAACTTTCTCCATGGCCAGGTTACAAATAGGCACACACTTAGCTGCTTAAAATAGCAAGGTGCATGGTTTGTTGAAGTTTCTATGGGTCAAGCCTTGGCACCCATTAGCTGACTGCCTGATGCTCACAAGACTAAAGTTAAGTGCTGGTACACTGAAGCTCTCATCTAAAACTCTGAGCTCTCTTACAGACTTGGTCAAGTCCTTGAGTTATTGGCAGAATTCTATTCCCTACAGTAGTGGAACTGAGATCCTATTTCCTTGCCAACTGGAAACCATACTCAGAGGTGACTACCTGCAATCCCTTCTCATATAGCCCTTCTAGGCAGTCTTACAGTGCTATTTGCTTCCAGACCAGTAGAGTACCTCTTTTGAATGCTTCACCTTCCCTTAAAGGCTTCTCCCATTAGGTCAGGCTCACCATGCTAGCCTTCTTTTAATTAATTCAAAGTCAACTGATTGGTAATCTTACGCGATGTGACATCTCTTCCTGTTCATACTCAAAGGTAAAGGATTTTATAGAGATGTACTTGTGGGGGCAGAAGTCTTGGGGATTGGTTGGTTTACAATGCCACCTAATACAACAGCTTCTCTGCTCCAATTTGAGAGGGGAAGAAAATACCAGAAGGAAATCCAGCCATACTTCTTCCTCCACACTCTCTGACCAGCAAAGCTTTTAGGGCAGCTGTGTCCGTTCTTGTAGTTTCTGCTCTCCCTGTTCTTTCCAGCAGCCCAGTCCTTTTCATTATGCTTCAGTTGGAGAAGGGTTTTTACTCCTTTGGAAGCAGAAGACTTGTGACCCTGCTGATTTATATCATTTCCTCCAAATCCACAGGAAGTAGGCATTAGCTTATTGTCTAGTAAATCTGAACACTTGATCCCATAAGTTTACTTAATATGGGCTTAGGTCTTTCTCCTCCATTACCCGGTTAGCGGTTAAGGTGAAAGGAATGCCTGCCTGACTCATTGGTCATTATGGCTGAAACCAAGCAGCAATATGATTATATAATTGACTTAATAGTAGAAGCAATAGTTTAAAATGACCTGTGACTACAGCGCTTTCTCTTTTATTCATTATGAGTTGATTCACACCATCCTAGGCCTGTGTAAGTTTAAGGTAGATGCTGAGTTGTGAACAGAGCTGGAGTTTGGATTCTTGTGCTTGTGACTGAAGGTTCTAGAATCAGAATGACAAAGCTCGTTTCGGGGCCTGTCCTCCTGGCCTCTTGCTACCGGTCTGATTAAATATTCAGTTTCTGCTGCAGCTGCTCTTTCCAATTTGCTTTCCCGGTGAAGACCAAATAAATGAATGAATGTTAACAACATTAATTATGTTTAATCTAATAAGATCTCATGTATTAATTGGCAAACAGCAAACACCAGAATTCTGAAATTCATAGGGTTCTCATCTGAATCCAAGTCATGCACAGTCATTATCTTGGAGGTGCAGAGCTAGAAATCATTACCAGTGGAATTTGTTCCATTTTGTAAGCAAATCACTTGCACTCTGCAGTTGGGTCTTAATCAGTTTGGGAATGCTCCCTGACTTGCTGTGTGGTATAGAAACAGCATCAAACCCAGGAGGCATTCGGATCCCTGATAAAGCCCTCCAGTGGTGTTTGCACAGTCTATGGTGATACACAGAAGGGAAGCAAAGACATCTTTCAGAAACAGTGGGAATGTGACCATTTAAAAGAATGAGACTTCATTACCCAGCCCTCCCTGCCCCTCCCATTTGCTGGTAATGCAATTCAGTAGGCAATCTGTGGGAACTCTCAAACAATTTACTTGCACTGGCAAATTGAACCTGTATCCCTCCTCCTCACCGCCCACTAAGTCCAACTTGGAGAAAATGCTTTGTGTTTGATGAATCACACGTTTGTTTCAGTTACCCATCTAGGAATGGAACCTAGGCCGTTTAGGGGTTGTTTGGGTGTTGCTTTAAGCTACAACCTCTTACTGCCTGGAAGCAATTAATCAGGGGGCATCAGAACCATTGTAAGGAAGTTGTGGGGGCTTGGGAATGGAATTTACAGTATTTTCCCTAGACGCCACTGCCTATCAAAGAAGCTGCAATCGTCAGAACAGAGAGATACACGTAAAGAGGAGCATAAACCGTCCTGCTGGGTTGTGGAACAGAGACCGCCATCTGCATTAGTTGGCATGAGGGAAGCTGATTACTCTGAGACCTCTATTTCCTAGCAGATGGGTTCATTAAACTTAATAGCCTCCAGAGCCTTTAGAAACCGTGTTAAAAACATGTGGAGCATGCTGTGACACTTCACTTCTGGCCCCACAGTCATTATAACTCTAGCACAGACTATAAATATTACAGTACTTTATTTCCATTGAAACAGATTACTATTATAATTATTTTTTGCCAAGAGATGCTGATGTTAAAAGCTGAGCACATTCCTGATTTGGGGTACCGTTTACATCCATCCACATATCTTCTTTTAAGTTGTTTTGTTGTTATTGTTTTGTTTCTTTGTTTCAGAGCTTAACATTATTTTTTCCTTGAGGTTAGTGCTATAAACTATGTATCAGTAGTATAAAACTATGATCTTCACAAAATGTCTGAGTACGCTATATGATGACTGTCAATATTTGAAAAGCTTAAGGCTGAATAAGAAAGAGCTTTTGGGGGTTTTATTGTTGTTTATGCGTTTCTGCTTCTGTGTTTTGTACCTGTCTAGAGAAAACCAGCATCTGTCCTCTACCATAGAGAAACGGACAAGATCATTAAGCCTGGGTTACTCTGTAGTTTGTGGTTGTTTGACAACTTGTGGTCGTGTATCAGGTCCTAACTCCAAGTAGCAAAGGGTGAATGAGGAATGTGTTGGTTCTCAGAACCATGCTGTCTATGCACTTCTGTCTTGAAGGATGCCTAGATTCAGGTACAATCCCATTATATTCTGACTCGTTCCTTGACTCTTCTTGCTTTAATTCTCATCTTGGCTTTCTGTAGACGCTGGCAGCGATGACCTCCACCATCTACGGACTTTCATTATGTTCACAGCTCTTTCTTTTACAGCATTTACATCAACCTATGAGACATAGACCTCTTTGGCTCACAGCCCCACAACGAGGGGTGACATACAGATATTACATGATGGCCTGAATATCACAGAGTGGAAAGAAATCAGTCCCGAAGGAAATTTGATATGGGAGGGAGGACTGAGAAGTGTTAGAGTCAGGCAGAGGAGTTGTCTGTAGTAACCAAAACCTACCAGCGCCCAAGACCATTATCATACCCATGTCTGTTCAT